CCCCACCTTCATTGTACAGGATGTGTCCCATGAATCGTACTACAAGAGCGACGGAAACACACAGATTTTCACCCGGCTGTGTCCCTCTGCTGCGTGGAATTGGGACTTGTTGGTTCAGAAGGGGCATGGTCATGGGTGGGGCCTGTGTGCTGCTGTTCTGTGCTCTGCCTTGCCTCCAAGGTGAAGTCTGAGATGTCAACAGAACAACTGAGGCACAGTAGGACTGAAATTTTTCCCCAAGATGGCACAGCTAATGGGTGACTGACTCTCTGGCCTCCTGGCTTTAGGGATCGATGGTTGATTGCTTGGTGACGTAAAATGACGTGGATTTGTGAGGTGAATATATGATAACTGCCCTAAAATTTACGTCAGTGGGACCTTCTGCCATTGTGACAAGAGCTGAGGAAGTAACTTAAAGAAGGGACGAGTTAGTGTGGCTCAAAGTTCCAGAAGTTTCTGTCACATCGTTTGACTCCATTGCTCCATGAAGTTGAGCACTGAGATGGGGGGGGAGGGGAGAGAATGTTTTAAAGCCATGCACCTCGTAGACGGGAAGCAGAGAGGCAGAAGACTGGCACCAGGCGCCCACTTTCCTCTGCCAGGCTCCACCCCCCCCCCAGAACCTCCTAGAATGGCGCCGCCAGTTTGGGACCAGACATTCAGCAGATTGAAAATTTATGTTCAAATTAGGATAAAATCTTTGTCATGATTCCAACATCTGGTGCATCTAAGTTCTGGATTCTACTAACTGCCCGTTTTTGTCCAAATGTTGTCCTGTCTCTGGGTGTGAACAATAACTTTGCTCTGTCTCCCGGTCACTTGGGCTGCTGCATCAGACTTGAGCTGGATGAATCTTCTATATTGGCAGTTACCCTGTGTAGGGGCAGGTTAGGTCTGCTGTGTGTGCCACACCAATGACAGTTCCCTCTTCTGAGCTCCTGCCATGTTAGTTGTGTCTATTCTGTTCTTGCCTTACTCTCTTCCTTCTAGTGTTTTCTGAGGGCAGTGAGAATACTTCCCTGAGCCATATACTGCCATAGGTAAGCTTCTGGGGGAGGGTCAGAAACCATGGGGCCCCGGTCCCTTATGCCACTAAATGGAAGGCAGGGGCCATATTGCTTCCCCCGTCCTATGAAGAGAGGAAACTGGACCCCTGTGCCAGACTATGAAGCAGGGCTAAGGTGGCCTGTTGTGGTCACTGTCACTGATGGTCATAGGGACGCATTGCTTGCTGGGGCCTGCTGGGTAGTGAAAAGGGGGCTGAGTTTCCTCGTCTGAAAGATGCAAGGTTCAAGTATGCAGCCTTTCGAAAGAGAAAGCTACCCACCCCCAGAAAGAGAACAAGGAAGGGTGGATTGCAAGGCAGGCTAAAATGCCAGGGAGTCAGAGAGGACCCCCCGAGGTAGCCCAGGAAGCCCGAAGGAGCTAGGTAAGTAGCAGTGCGAAGATGCAAAACGTGTTCTCGGCCATCGTTAGAATTTGTTTATGGAAATGTAATTTACTGGTGGTGGTATACATGTCAATGTTGAAGGCACACATTCCTCCCCACAAAGAATTTATTTATTGCAAAGAGGGAGAGAGAAATCTGGCCACAGTGAAGCCTAGAGGACAGAGCCTTCAGGCAGGGATCATAATGAGAAACCAGCGTAATGACACTGGTCAAATCACACAGTACACAACACACAGCACACACATTATATAACATACATATATTATATATATATATGTATATACATATATTATATAGACCCTCTCTATGTAGACCTGGAAGGTCTGGGACTCACTATGTAGAGCAGTCTGGCCTCTGAACTCACAAACGCACACCTGCTTCTGCCTCCTAAGTGATGGGATTGAAGTATGAGCCACCATGCTTGGTTATGATTAGCTTAAATGGGGGCTGGGGACTTGAACCCATTTACATATAGTGTATAACATTACACATAAGTGCGTACTCATAGAGTGAGCATGGTTGCACATGGTCAACCATGGTCGCACATTGGGCTTACAGGCCCAATGCTGTAGAAGACAGAGACAGGAGGCTCTTAGGGACTTGCTGGCGGCCAGTGTAGCTCCAGGTTCAGTGAGGAAACCCTGTCTCAAAGGAATAAGGTGGAGAGAGATAGAGCAGGGTGCTCATGTCTTCTCCTGGCCCGCTTCATGCACACTCACACACGCACATCACATTCACCACTAGCACACATACAAGCACACGCATATGTGCTTAGTGGGAGAGAGACAGAGAGAGATGGCTGCTAGATGCACCTGATTCTGGCCAGACTCTTTGGCACTAAATAATGTTATGGAAACAGTCTGGAAAAGGCAGAAGGCCCTGATGGGCAGCGTCAAGCTTCAGTGGTTGAAATCTGGATTTTGGTTCTCTAGATGGTCATTCTGGTTTACACACACAACACGCTGACCTGTGTCCATCCACAAGTCCCTCCCAAGTGGCGGGAGGAAGTTGGCAGTTCTCTGTGTCACCTTCTGTAATTTTGAGTTTGCTTCAACAATTTTAAAATCGCTTCTAATTTTGAAATAGTCTCTTAAAAAAAAAAAAGACACATACACACTTTGACTCTGATCAAAGTTCCAAATTTCAGTTTGATTCTAGAGACATTGTTCTAAGTGTGTCCATAGAGCTGCGATCATGTCTGTACCGTATAAACCACCATAAATACGGAATGTTGGTACAATGATAGAAGTGGAAGAATTATCTAAAAAAGTCTGTCCATCAATAGACAGCTAGCAGCCCCACTGTGCACGTCCTGCGATCATCGGACAGGACGGAACAGATTTCTGCTGGCTGCAGTGGACATTTACCCAGAGCACCATTTACCACATGGCGCACTCCACTGTGGACTATGTGTACTAAGTCCAAGAGGACTTACTGCATTGATTTTGTTACTCCACCAGGCATGGAAGAACACTGGAGCCGAGGGAGGCAGCCTGCCAGGGTGAGGTAGCCAGAAAGTCACGCTTCTCCCACAGAACCCCAAGTCACACAACTGCTGAATGACACATACATGCACACGCACGTGTGCGCACACACACACACACAGAGTGTGTGTCATACACTCAGACATATGCACAGAGAGTCGTACACTCAATCATATGTACACACACAGAGTCATATACTCAATCATATATCCACATGCACTCACACTCATGCACACAAAACAAGACAGAAATATCATATAAATCATCAGTGACGATCGCTTTTAGAGACTGGGCTTGGGAGTGGGAGGAATTTAACCTTTTATTCTTTATATTCTGTACCGTATATCTTCACTTTAATGTATACCGCCTTGATTCCATCTAAAACTTTTTTAAGGTCTTTATTTTTTTAAGATTTGCTTACTTTTATTGTGTGTAAATGGTGTTTCACCTACATGCGTGTATGTGCAATCCTGCATGCCCAGTGCCCGCAGAGGCCAGAAAGCGGTGCCAGACAGATCCTGGATGATTGTGAGTTGCCACGTGACTACTGGGAATGGAACCTGCGTCCTCTGTAAGAGCAACAAGTGCTCTTAAACGCTGAGCTATCTCTCCAACCCTGTTAATATTTAAAAAAAAAAAACTAGTTCAAATAAGTAAGCATTAGAGTAGAAAGAAACTGGCGTCTGTCTTCACAATTTCAGGTGTGATCCCAGGACCTTACACACTCAGCAGCTTTCACAGTCCGGGCATCTTGGCATTGTGTAAAACTTAATACTTTCAAGTTAGTATTGGAATTGTGTTGTTGATAACAGTTCCGCTCTTAATTCACCCAACTCACTGGAACACTTAATTCAGCCCCAGTGCCACCACCCCCTATACACACACACACACACACACACACAGTGTGTGCGGTTTTTGAAAGGTCTCTGCAGGTGACCTAAGGTTCCCTTTCCTCTCCGGTTGATGGACAGGCGATGCGGCTCTCACATCTGTCCACCCTGCAGATGTTTATTATCTATACCCCTGTCTATTTTTTGCAGGCACTGGAACTGGGTTGTATAAGATGTCCCTAAAGAATAGAGGCCATTGTTTGAGACGGGAGTCTCTCTCTGTAGCTCAGGCTGGCTTGGCTGGAACTTAATCCTAGCCCAGGTTGGTCTGTAACTCTCTGCAATCCTCCTGCCTCTGTTTCCCAAGTGTTGGGTTTTGTGTGTGAACCACCATACACCCAGCTAAACATATTTCTTATTTGATGGTTTCCAAATAGAGCAATGGGGAGCCGGGTTAGGGTGATGAGATGCTTGGGAGGAGGAGGGTCTCTGAATTCTCTCACCATCCAGGGAAGTTCAGATAGATTACCCAGGCTAAGTCCCCTAAGGGTTGGGAAGAGACGCTGGACTTGAGAGAAACTGGCCTTGAAGCTGACTGAGGCCTGCAAAATTCATTGGCTCTCATCCTGATCTGGAGGCTTTTCCTATCACCAGGTCCTCCCGTGGTGTGAGCTACTGGCCTTTTCTCAGCAGTTAAAGCCCACCTCCTTTCCTCCGTGGCTGGACTGCTCACTGAAGGATCTTGTGGGTCTGGTTGCAGTCCGCAATCTGAGGCCCTGGGGGTATGAGCGACTCTGGCTGAAAACCCTGGGCTCACAGTCTCGCTGACTAGTCGGTGACTCTGGGTAGGGTGCTTTTCTGAGCCTCAGTTTCCCTCTCTGTGAAGCTGCCTCCTTGAAGAGTTAGAATGGGTATTCAAGGAGCAGCCGCCCTCTGCTAGGACTTGCTCTGCCGGTGGGGGTCCCTCTTCTGAGGGACCAGGGCGCAGAGGAATTTAAGGTGTGTGACAGCTCTTCCTGCCTGCCCGCGCTGTCTCCCCCAAGAGTTTGGGGGACGAGGAGACTCTGTCCTCTGCACCCACAGGCGCTTCTCAGAAGGACCCCTGGCTTCGGCTCTGCACTTGGCCTGCGGGAGCACCCAGGCTGCAGGGTGATCCGGGTTGCACGGTGATCCCGGAGCTGGGCGGGACGGAGAGTAGCCCATGTGATCTGAGCAGGCGGCAAGTTGGGCCGGTCCTGTGCCACAGCTGCCCGGCTCCCTGAGCTCTAGCTCAGTGCACCCTGACCCAACGCGGCCCTCGGTGCGTGGAGTTTCTCTCTCAGGACCTAAGGGCAAAGAGCAGAGCCCAGGACTCAAGAGACAGAGCCAAGGGCTGAGCGTTCCCAGGAGAGAAGCTGGTGAGTGCGCGGAGAACCTGGGACTTGCAGGACCCCCAGGAGAGGGAACCCAGCTCAGCGAGGGTTCAGCCCCACCCTTCCTCTGGCTTAGGTCCGTGCTGATGAGGAGCTCACTCACTCAGTAAACCCCAAACTCCAGGCTTCTACCAAGTGCCTCGATCACAGTGGGCTAAATCCTTGGGGAGCCCATTTGGTGCTAATCAGTTGGTTTTAATCAAAAGCCTCAAATTGAGGTAAAAGCTGGCGCCCAGGAAACTTGGGCTGGAGCCCAGGGCTAGAGGCTGTTTGGAGAGAGACTTCTTCCTGTTGCCCAGCTGGTCTTGGAGAAGCAAGAGGAGAGAAAAAGACCAGAGCATGAAAGAGGCACCTGCCTTCCTCCAGACCTCTGACAGCACCAGATACCAGATTTAGTGGAATCCCCTCTCCCTTTTTTTCTGGACCATAGGTTTCCTGGTTCACCTCCTTGTGAGAAGAAAGGTGGGTGGGTTGTAGGCATGGCAGGCATCGCCACCGCTGTTTCCAAGTCTCACAGATCCGAGATTTCACAGAGGACACACCTATATCCTACTGACCTGAACTAAAAACGCAGCTCTCTGCTTTCATCTGAAATGGGCTGGCGAGTTTACCTGTTCTGATTCCGGGCAGTGTGATTGTTCAGGTTTCTCTATGAGGGCTTTGCGTGATAATGAGGACTCAAGACTTCACTAGATGCCCAGGCCATAAAGCCTCAGGAAAGGGGATGAGCTGAAAAGATCAGGGGTAGCTGGGCAGTGAGGTTGGTGCACTCCTGGGCCTGCTGGCTTCCTCTGGGGATGGGTGTCAAATGACCCATCCCCCTTAGCAACACACAGCTTTCCTGGCCATGAGCACTAACTACCCCTGCCCAAGTCTCCAAGGTGTTACTTTTTAGAATTCAAGCAGCACCAGGCAAGGGGTTGTGTGCTCCTCCATCTCACCCAGCATCCATGTCCTATCTCCATATTGGGGACCATGACAGGTGCTTCACATGACTGCGAACCTGGTTCAGGCACATGCATGAGAAGCTGGTGGATCTTTCTGATTGAAGCATGAATGGCTCTGAAAAACTTCTCAGCACTGAGGGAGGAGGAAGCTGGGGAGGAGCAAAGAGGTCCCCAGAGCCTGTAGGCTAATGATGCCTTTCCCTTCCCCCACTGTTGATGCAGAATGGCCATGTGCCTGGTCAAGTGGTTAAAGCTCCTTTTAGAACTCACTATCAATTTCTGAAAGAGGATGACCCCCAACATGCATGTGCACCATACCCTACCATACCATATGGTGCCTCTTAATTCTAAGATCCCGGCATCATGCTGGGTTAGAGATGAACAGAGAGGCCATGGAGCACAGCCTTTCATGGTCGAGACAGGGAACCTGCAATCTTGAGAAGAGGGTTGGAAGCCCAGCTACCAACTCTGCAGCTGTACTTGGCTCAGCTCTCAGCCACAGCCTGGGCCGAAGGCTTTGCATGTAGGTCAGAACCAACAGCTGTGGGTAAGGGAGGCTCCCAAGAAACACTGAGAGCAGGGAGCCCAAGCTAGACTTGATGGCAGGCGTCCTGGCTTGGAGGATGTCTTGTAGCCTTTCCAGAGTTTCACGGGGACACCTGGCACTGCTGTGGGACGGGAGTGCTTCTGGGTGGCAGTGTGCACATTCTACTTCTGGAGACTGGAGGCCAGGGGTACTCCTGTTGGTGTGAGCCCTATCCACACACATAACCACACCCAGAAGCTCTGGAGATAGCCCCAAAGGGGTCGTAACTGGCACCTCTGCTTACACTTTCATCTGCAGAACCTGCCTGTCAGCGGGATCTGCTGAGTGTTTCCCCAGTTTGTTTGCTCACAGTCACTAATGTGCCAGCTTCTGGGCAGGTGGCCCTAGAAGCAGATAAGCCAGGTCTTTGTCTACAAGTTTCCCTTCAAGTGACCGAAGCGTTCATTTAAAACTTTAATAGCTAAAGACAACATCATCCCCTTGAAACTCAGCGGCTGGGTCTGAGTGGTTGCTCTCCGCTTTTATCTCTCCTTCCTGCTGGCCACTCTTTCTGATGCCTCCCTGTTCCCCATTATAATCATTAAGTATCTGGGGACAGCGGACGTCTGGGTGATTGGAAATAGGATTAAAGCCGAGCGGTGGAGCAGAGAGAACTTGAGAGTGCTTTGGGGCTCAGGAAGCTCGTGACTGGGTTATCAGCACAGACAAGGAACAGTCAGAGCCCAGAGGCATCGCCCTGCCCAAACACATGCCCATCCCCCCCTGCCTAGCCAGACACAGGACAGCCCTGGCCCCTCCATGGGTCTGGCACGTTCCCTGCCCTGCACTGGTGCAAGTCCAGATTTTATAAGAGCAGGCTAGTTAACAAGGAGCAAGGAAAGCAGGGATGGTAGAGGATCACTGACTTGCTGGAGACTGCAGACCATGCCTAACCAAGAGGGGCTGCCCTTGCACCTAGTTTAAGTGAGCATGTCCCAGGCCAGGGCTGGGCTGGGCAGTGAAGTTATCAGCATGTCCTCAAACTGTCACTGACTTAGTTTGTGCATTTTACAATACTGGCATCAAACAAATTCTTCATTTGATTTGAGATTATTTTTTTTTAGAAATAGTTATTTTAATCAAGCTTTGTGCTTTTTTCTATTTGTCGATTCACTAAATAGGAAAGCTTTATTGTGGGAGGTAACGATGCATCCAGTTCCGGTGACACTGGTCCCGAGCCTTTGATTGGCCAACGATGCACTCAACAGGTCTTGTCCTGTGGCAATACCACCCTCCGAAGTTCCCATCAGACAAACTCAGAAAACACCTCCTTAGAGCCTCCTGCACTCAAGGACATGGGACTCGATCCAAAAAAACAAAGGGGGTGGGGGCATGAGAGGAAAACTTCATAATGCTTCCAACCCATCAGGTGCCAACACATTGTTCTTAGCTTAGGGATGGGTGTGTGTGCTTTCCAAACACTGAATTCTACCCTTCCTGGATCTCCTAAGCAGAGCAAAGTGAATTTGAGGATCCTTTATGGATCCTCCAAGATGTGTTTTGTCAAGACAGATTTTCCGACCCGGTGAGGAGCACAGAGTTCCTGCCCCTCTCTAGCAAGAATCTGTCTTCACCTTCACGGCTGATGGCCAGCTGTGCTGTCCTGGCACCAGCCTGGACCCTTGTCCTGCCTCATCTGAGCAGCATCCTAAATAACAAGGGTTCAGACTCCTCCCAGGCTCAGCTCCCCAGGCCTTTTCCCACTCCTGACTTCAGACATCACTGGCTTTTGGCTAAGAAACCAAGTGGCTCTCGCTGTGAAAAACAAGCATCATAGGAGGAGAAAGAGCCTAAGCCAGGGCTGGGGGGCTCATGTCATCAGCATGGTACTGGCGTGTGTTGACATTGCTGTACATGCACTCGTTGACACCCAGCACCCTCTGAGAATATAATGGCAAAACTGTATGAGGATTCCTCGATAAAACCCATTACCTTGTATGCTAATCAATAATAATAATAATAATTTAAAAAGAATTTTTTAAAAAAGAATTCAAACTATGAGGATGAGAAAGAGGTGGCCTCTCCTCTGGCTTTTCCTTCACACTCAGGAGTTAAGTGTCCATGGCCTTTGATTTCTACTTCAGGAGGGGAGGGGGTGAGAGCCCTCAGCTGAGGGTCATGCTGCTCATTGGCTCCAAGAATAGAACTTGAGTGAACACTGGCCCCATAAGACACGGGCTTTCAAATGGTGAGAATCCAGAATGAATGGGCCCCAGTCACCCATTTAATAAGAACTTCTTGTTCTGTTCCCTAGAAGACAGACACCACGTGTTCTGAGGGGGTGCCTGGAAGGTGCATTGGCTCCTCGTGGCACTTTCTTGGCCACACCAACCAAGGCACCCCCCAAATACATTCCTCCTAATGGCCACTGTGCTGGAGCGTGAGGATATTGAGGGGTGAATGGAAAAATACTGAGGAGTTATCTTTCACCCATTTGAAGACACAGGACGGTGTGGGGGGCGACTGTTCTAGCTGGCAGCAGGGGACTCTGGAAAGTCACTTTGCTTTTCCTCCTTGCTGTGGAAAACAATACTGGACAAAAGTCACTCAAGGAGGGGTTAGTTTCACTCCCAGTTGGTGGGCATGTGGGAAGGCATAGCAGTAAGCGCAGCTCTAGCTGTGGCCACAGGAGTGTGAGGCAGCTGGTCACATTGCACCCACAGCCAGGCTGCAGAGAGGAATGCCAGCACTGAACTCAGTGGCTCCTTTCGATTCAATCCAGGACCCCAGCACATGCACTGCCCACAGGGTGGGTCTCCCCTCCTCCATTAAACCTCTTTACAGGCATGACTAGAAGTGTGTCTCCTAAACATGCCCCAGCAATGCTGAAGCATGCATGCGTGGGTAGCCTGCTTATATTAGGTTTCATGGTCTGAGTTGAAGAGGATGACTGACCGGGTCTCCCTGGTCTCTTCCTCAAGGCTCCACCGAGATATGAACTCAGATCGCTGGATTCAGAGTTCAGAGCGTTAACCATTACACCACGGGCAAGTTGTGGCCACGGGCAAGTTGTGGCTTCTAGGAGATTCCAAATCTAGTCGGGTTGACAATGACGATTAATCATCACAGTCGTTTTTGTTGCTAGTTTTGAATTTGTGTGTGTGTGAGACATACATATCTCACTCACCATGTTGTTCATGCTAACCTCCAACCTGAGATCCTCCTGCCTCAGTTAACTGACTGCTGAGGATATGGACCATAATTAACAGCCAAATTAAAGTACTTCTCTGACACACAACCTGTTCTTCTCAAACGGTCATACTGACTGCTTCTGATTGTTTGGTGGCTCTGAAAGGGGGAGGGGTGTATCTCAGAATTTGAAAGCAAGATAGAGACCTCCAGGTGGTTGACAGGTCCCTCATGAGAGCACCTGACTGGTTCCCTTTCCTATTATTTCCTAGAAAATAAGTCAGATCCTCAAGGGAGACTTACCAGAGCCTCCCAGTACCAGTCAACTCCCAGTGGCACAAAACAGGTCTTTCTGGCATCTAAACACAGTCCTCTAGAGAACCATATGGTTCCTGGAGCCACTTAGACTAGGGGTCACCCATGGGTGTCCCTTATTGCCTGCTGCAAGCAATGAAGAACATAGAAAGGACATATGTACCAGGGACAAAAAGAGTTCCTGTCCCCAGGGGGCTTAACAGTAACATGACCTCACTGGCCACTAAGAAGTATGAAGAAACTTCTGAAGAGTGGAGGTAGGGAGTGACCAGCAAAGGAGTGAAGCCCACAGTGTGGTCAGAGAAGACCTCTGTTGGTGCCATGTACTCAGTGAAGATGCGTGAGGGAGTTGTCAATGCTGCCCCTAGTTTTATACCCAGATATAATGTCATGTTGATATGACCTGTGAGAGCCATGTGACACCTCTACAAAAAGCCAATATGAGAGCCTGTCTTTCTCTGCTTAGCTACATCACCGTCACTGGCCTGTCTCACACCCACTGCGCACCCAACAGAACATGCAGGCTGGGTCTGTTGGTGACCACTAAACACACGACTCTCCCCCGTGGTATTGCCACCCACAGGAGTCTGAGGACTCGCTGTACAAGTTCTCTCTAACATGCACACGCATGCGCACGCGCACACACGCATGCGCACACACACACACACACACACACACACACGCGCACACACGCATGCGCACACACACGTGCACACGCACACGAACTGCCGGAGGAGCTGCACTAGTCCTCTCTAACACGCACACGAACTGCCCGAGAAGTTTGTCAAAATGCAGCCTCCTAGCCTGCAGGGCTTGGCCGAGCTTGGGCATCTTCATCCTAACCAAGTTCTAAAGCAGGCTGCCGGTGTAGATCACACTTAGAGTAAAGTCACTAGGTTCTGCCACCTGTCCTTCTGACGTCTGAATTTTTCCATTTGTGTCCATTGACATGGACATTATTAACAAGGATATCAGGTTTGGAGAGCTTCAAAATCTGAAGTCTGAGTCCATGTGAAGGTACAGATACATAATATCAAAACTCAGGAGATTGAGGCAGGAGGATTGAGAGTTTCATTCTAGTCTGGGTTACACAGCAAGACTATGTCTTAAATAAAATTAATTACATTTTAATTGATTGATCAAAAATCTGGTTTGACCTCCACTCCCTTGGGTCATCTAGAACACAATACACCAGTACACTCAGGGACTTGCTGCTCTGACTGCAACTGAGCCATTCAGAATCCCTGCAAGTCCTAGCTGTTGCCATGGTCAAGTGACCCTAACATACACTGGGCACAAACTCCCACTTGACAGTCTGTCAGCTGACCTCTCCCAGTGAGCAAAGTTGCAGGCTCTAGCCGGTTGTCTTGCCCTTTCGGGTGTTTTTCTTCCTTTAGTCTCACTATGGATCTTGCATGAGTGTTCCTAGAGCAAGCACATTTGGCGTCAGCTTAGTAAGACATTGCTAGGTGGGGTTTCTGGGCCATGTGGCAACCCTAAGCAAGCAGGCCTCACCCCCTAGAAGACTGTAAATCTTTCAGATGATGAGGAACTGTGGTGTTGGTGTCTGTTACCTCATTACCATAAAAGCAACTTAAGAAAGGGAAATTTGCTTTGGGGCTCACAGTCCTCAGGTGACTGGTACTGTAGCAGAAGCATGAGGCAGGTCACACTGAGTCCAAAGTCGTGATGTGGAAGGAGATGAATACCAATGCTCAGCTCCTTTCTCATCTCTCCTTTCCCTTCAGTGAGGGACCCCAGCCCATGGGATGCTGAGCTGCCTACACTCAGTGTGGATCTTTCCTCCTCAGCTAAACCTCACGTAGCTATACCCGGAGGTGTGTCTTCTAGATCATTTTAAACCCAGTCACTTGGACAGTGGAGATTAGCCATCATGTCTACATGGGGAAAGAGTCTCCAAAGCTTCCCTGCCTTCTGAGACCAGCATTGCCAACCCTGAATCACGGGCAATGGCCCCAGGGATTCAAAGCTAGACTAGACTTAGACATGCTCTCTTCTTTTCTGAGCATATGTAATGGGAGACAACAGGCACTCACCTCACAGTGGGAACAGTGAATGATGCTATCTATGCCCCAGGGGCAAGAACTAATTCCCTTACACATCTACTTATTTCCATGTATTTAGCTGTACAAAATTTATTAAATGGCCCTAGTCCCCAGTCAGGTATGTATCCAATTAAAAAAACCATTTGTCCCAGTACACAGATATTGTTGGGGATCCATGGGTGTTTTTATGATATGCCCCATACTTTGTGACTTATTTGCTGTCTCTGGGGCCTCCTGGCATTGACTGGTTGTTATCCCGTGACTTTTCAGGTGTGACGTGGATGAGGCGCAGAGATGGGGAAAAAGCTGGACCTCTCTAAGCTCACAGACGAGGAGGCCAAGCATGTCTGGGCTGTGGTTCAGCGGGACTTCGACCTCAGAAGGAGAGAAGAAGAAAGACTTGAGTAAGTGTCTAGCTGAGCTATGGAGTTAAGGTCCTTTGATGCACCAAGTGGCCGTCACCTCAGGTGCTCCGGTGGTGCAAGGCCAGAGATACTAAGTAGGCAGAATGGATGGGAAGTCACGCCCTGGGAAATGGCTCCCATTGCAAACTTTGAGTTTCTCATTATGAAAAGGAGGCTTCCTGTTCTCTGAAGAACTCCTTCGAATTTGACTCTGCTTCTGGGCGCTGTCTCATGAGCCACGTGGTCCTGAGGTCCCACCTTCAAGAGAGAAAAGCAGCTAACGGTGCTGTGTGAGGAATGTAGTATGGTTTTGAGTCACTTGGACACTGGGATTTGGGCAGAGGCTGGCTTCCATCCTGTTCAGTGATGTGAGGGGCACCCCTCCTTCTGGGTAACCCCAGCCTGTGTACCTCATTCTCCCCACCACCTGAGCCAAAGTTTATCTCATTGCTTATACTTCCCTCTGCCTCTGCCCACAGGGAAGGTTTTTAGTCTGCCTGGCAACTCTTCTCTTCCCTCTGTCTTTTGGGGTCAGCTTATTGAGGAGTTGGGAGGAGACCCTGAGTGAAGACTGAACAGAAGCAAAGGAAGGCAACTAAGGGCAAGCACGGGCTAAGAGCAGACCACACAGGCTCTATGGATTGGCATGTGGGGGTCTTGGGGTTGGGGAACATGGCTCATCTGAGCCCAGTATTTAAAGTCAGGAGGAAAGAGTGTTGTAGAGGGTTCCTGGGGAGGGAACTCAGAGAAAGCCCAGAGAAATGGCTATCAGGCACGGGAGAGTCTCTAGGTCCCAATACAGAGTGGGGTCCAGGACAAATCGCCGAAAGACACGCCCAGTTCAAGGCCAGCACACAGAGGTTCTAGTATTATGGAAAGGGTCTAGTCAGAGCCATCTCGCTGAGTCACCTCCACTCTTCTTCCTGCCTTGCTCTACCTGTGACCCCTGGGTCTTCATCATGAATCAGCCCCATCTTGAGCCAGTCCCATCACCGCCACCCCTGGTTGACTTGGGCCAAAGCCTGTCTCTGCCACCAGCTTGATGCCCGCAGCAGCCTGGATCCACTTTCCAAGCAACTAACGTCCAAGGTTACCACTAGCTCTCTTTCCACCCAAGAGTTGAACTGGTACTCCGCCCCGTCTCCAGAGCAGACCTGGCTGTGGCCAGCCTTTGTTTTAAATAAACAGCAACTGATACCTTCATTCACATTGACGTGCAAGGGAAGGAGACGTCATTTTGCAGGGAGCAAAGTATAGGGATGCCAGACAGGCACCACCTTCCCAGGGACTTGGAGGAGGTCCAAGTCCCCCATCCCAAGCTTAGTGAAATTCCAGGTGTTTTTGCATGCTCCCTTGTAACATCTGGCTTTCCTTATTCCATGCCCCTTTGCTCATTTCTCCCCGTGAGGAAAACACACCCCAGATTACTTCTAAGTACTCTTTGGCTGGGAAGCATCTTACAAGGACCTTCCTGGTGGGATAGCCACAGTCAGGGTCCCTGCTGTTTGCACAGAATGAGCCAGCAGGGGTAGACGTAGCTGTCCCAGGGCAGCAGCCATGGGACTAGGGAATGGGTTTGCTAAAAGTTCCCAATGTCTATCAGGTGGGGAAAGGTTGTGCACAATACTCGTCACAGAGGACCGGGGTGACATCTGCAAAGGGGGCAGTGATGGAAAATCACTGGCAAAATCACCGAGGCCCAAGGGGCACACTGACTTTCACTGTGCACCCACAGTTAACTATAGCTGGCAACAGACGTAGGGCACAGTCATGCGGCAGAGGGTTGACAGATTTCTCGTGATTCTTCTTGAGGTTGCTGCCCAGTCCCAAGTTCCCTATTCCGGGAAATCTATGGTTAAAGGGCAGCCCTGCTCTTCCCTGTGACTTGCCTGCTTGCAAGTTCAGCCTGAGCCCAGGAGGTAGCAGGGTACAGGCCATATGGAGGTCCTGAGGCAGGTGGGAAGGAGCACAGTGAGGTCACAGCAGGAGGCTTAGGCTCTCTGCCCACTCGGGCAGGGGTGACTCTTTGAAAAGGCAAGATTGAAACAGGTATAAAATAAGAAAAAAAAAAAAACAGGTTCTTGGTGGTAAAATTGGTCCAGCAGAGTGAGCTGACTAAAAGAAGAGTCCCATTTCTTATGTCCCAGGGCTCTCTCCAGTAGTGACTGACATGCACCAGCTGTGGCCTGGAATCCCTTCTTGTGATTCACAGGCACAGCACGCCTGTTGCCATGGTGTCCCGTGATACTCACTATTGGTAGGTGCTTAGATGTAGCAGGGTTACTCTTCAGGGTAGAGGGACCCATGAGCTGCGCTCTTCCCTGCTTGTTCATGGGATAAAATGCCCATCGTGTCTTCCTGACTGGCTGGTGTCTATTGGTTTTGTAAGGAATCTGTCAACGGCTCAAAGAACAAATTCATCCTGTACTGTTTAAATTTCTACATACCCGAGTGTGTTTGCAAACCTCAGCCTGATGCCTTCCACTGATGGAGAAAGAAAAGTACCACCTGATGACGTCATCATATTGACTTCTCAAAGGCGGGTGACAGAAGCCACCACCTGCATGTGGCTATTTGAATTCACTGAAGTTAAACGAAAGAATGTAAGGCCTCGGTTTCACTGGTCACTCTTCAAGTGTCCCCCAAGTAATGAGCATGTGTTATGACTGCCATCGTCCCAGCCCCCCAAGATGGCAAATTTAACGATGAGCTTCATGATGGATTTCTTGGAATCCATTAAAAATAAATGGAAAAATAAGCTGACACTTGACATGGACAGCTCACAAGGCACTGCTGAGCAGAAAAAGCAAGTTATGGAAATGTAATTTTATTTTTAAATATATGTCATAATAGCAGGCTTGGTCCTCACAGAGCCTTCTCTCGGGGGAGTATGTGTGCTGATAGCTAGCCTCTCCCTTCTCTGGCTCCTTTGCTGGTCTAGATTTGTTATATATATATACCTTTGGAGGGCCCAGGGCCCAGGGCCCTGAGCTCAACCCTTGTCTTTCTTCTATGTTCATTCAATCCCCTATGAACTTATCCAGCCTTAAGGGGTTTGGTTTATTGCTTTTGGTGGGGGGAAGGGTAGAAGGGGGTGTTGTTTTGGTTTTTTGGTTTGTAGTGCTGAGGGCTGGACCCAGGGCCTTACTCTACCACTGACATACATACCTAGCCATGCCCAAGGTCAAATGGCACTGCCCAACCTGCAGTGGACGGAATGTTGTGTAGACTATTTCCAATTATGGCAGACATTCACCCACTTCCATGGCTATGAGGACTTGATGGGACTACCTTTTTGGTTTGATGTTATTATATAGTTCTTAAACTTGTATGCATATAAGTGTTTCATATGCATACGTATATGTGCACCACCTGTGTGCAGTACCCATGGAGGCCAGAAGAGGGCATCAGATCCCCTGGAGCTGGAGTTGTAGACAGTTGTAAGCTGCCATGCGGGTGCTGGGAACCGTACCTGGGTCCTCTGCAAGCACTCTTAATCACAAAGCCATTTTCCAGCCCCTGTTTTATTTTATTTGGAACTTAAGTAACATAACACCTATGTCCAGTCGTCAGTAGGTGTCACAGTAGGCCTAGACAGAAAACCAAGACCCTTCTAAACTCTTGACTCAATGAACCCATGTTAAGCTCTTAGATTGAACATCTGACCGACTCATGATTCGTGTCCCCCAAGATCTCATCCCCATCTCAGTTGCTAAAGTCAGGCTCCCGAGGTCATGCTTGTTCCTTTCCTTTCTCGTTCATGTGTCCACAAGCCCATTAGAATACATTCCCAGTGCAACATCAGTTTACTGACTTCAATGCTAGCCCTAAGTCAAGCCACACCAACTCCACACCAACTGACCCCAGTGTCATGGCTTAAAAACAGGACTCTAGTCAGGTCTGGTGTGGGAAGTCCATCTGTCTGCTTTGCTTTTATTGGTTAATAAATAAAGCTGTTTCGGCCAGTGGCTTAGCAGCACAGTGCAAGGCAGGAGTTCCAAGCAGATAGAGGAGGAGAGAGTAGAGGGAATCAGGAAGAAGCCATGTAGCTGCTGCCAGGGACAGAAACCTTGGCTGGAGCCCACTGAAACTTTGCTGGTAGGCCACAACCTCGTGGTGATACATAGATTAATAGATAGAAATGGGTTGGTTAGTTTAGGATATAAGAGCTACCTAGAAATACGCTTAAGCTATTGGCCAGACAGTATTGTAAATAATATAGTTTTTTTTCCTTTTTTTCCATTCAAAAATTTACACTTCCTCCCCTCCTCCCATTCCCTTCCTGCTCCCCCACTCACCCTCCTCCCTCCCTCTCCCTCCTTAAGAGAGGGCAGGGAACCCTGTCCTGTGGGAAGTCCAAGGCCCTCCCCCCCTACATCCAGGCCTAGGAAGCTTTGCATCCAAATAGACTAGGGTCCCAAAAAGCCAGTACATGCAGTAGAAACAAGTCCCAGTGCCTTTATCAATGGCTTCTCAGTCAGCCCCCATTGTTAGCCACATTCAGAGAGTTCTGTTTGATGGTATGCTCATTCAGTCCCAGTCCAGCTGGATTTGGTGAGCTCCCATTAGAAAAGGCACACTGCCTCAGTGGGTGGACCAACCCCTCGTGGTCCTGACTTCCTTGCTCATCTTCTCCCTCCTTCTGCTCTTCAACTGGACCTTGGGAGCTCAGTCCGTTGCTCTGATGAGGGTCTCTGTCTCTATCTCCATCCATAGCTGGGACTTAATGGTGACGCTGCCTTCTCATTGCGGCCCATGGGCCTCACCCCTGCCCACTGTGAGGTCCCACAACCTCCTAGGACAGCAGCTGAGTGGCTTGCTTGTTAGCCTCTTGTGTCCTTGCCACAAAAGCTTGCTGTATGTCACCAGTGTCTGGCATGGTTACTAGTAGGCTCTACAGCCAGCAGAGTCACACAGTGACACTTAGTAGCTCAAGTTGGCCTCAAACTCAGGATCCTCCTGTCTCAGCCTCCTCAGCGCTGGGTTTATTGGAGTATGGC